CCCCAAAACCCCAAAACCCCAAAACCCCAAGATTGAGTTTAGACATTGAAATTTAATATTAAATGGCTTCAAACTCATACATATTTAATTTATTATATACAAATACATTGATATCGGTCTTTCCAAAGGCAAAGTGACGTCACTTTGCCTTCATTATGCGTCACTTTGCCTTCAAGAAAGGCCGATTTCCATGTAGATTACATGGATCTCAATGTGCTTGAGCCAGATTTCTCCTGGATAAATCCGGCTGGAAAGGCCTAAAATCCTTGTATTCTACATGGAAATCGGTCTTTCTTGAGCCGGCTTTGGCTGCTTCCTCGACCAAGGAGCTGCCAAAGCCGGTTTGGAAAGCGAAATCTCTTTGTAAGCAGGAGAATGTTACTGAATGTACTAAATTAATAGCTTTAATTCAAACTTAGTAGTCTCCTCAATCTCAACCGTCCATCTGATCGTAACTTATACCTCAGCCATATCAAAAGTATGCTCCTCATATGCAAGTGATTTCGTTTCAACCATCAACTTTATAGCACCAGAGTCTGCAATTTGGGCATCTTTTCATGTTGTGGCTAACAGCATGGTCAATCGCCTTTTGATCATTGAAATCAAGCCTTCCTTTCCCATATGTTTCCTGGAATAATTTACAGCTGATTTCATTATGCCATTCGCTCTCACATTCCAGTCAGTACTCGATGCCTCAGTTTTTGCATTTGAATTTAGGATTGGCTTTGAGATCATTCCCTTCAACTCACACAACATACTCACAATCCGGAGTGGGACATGCCATGAACTTCTGAGCATTCTGGTTCATAGCCATTTTGAACGAGAACAAGTCGAACCGCTCCACATACTCCTTCGTCAAAGTTTCTCTGACGATTCCGAACGGAACTTCTTCTTTGCACTCCACGATCGGACACACCAGCGGAATCTTGTTGCTGTCGATCGATGTTTCGAGGTGCTTCTGCAAACACTCTTTGTGGAACAAGTGGGCGCAAGTGTCGATGCCTTGCACTTCGTCCATCTGGATGTCATCCAGACAGATTTTGCAATCGCCAACGACAAGCTGCTTGGCTTCATCAGATGGGTCTTGTTTGGCTTCTTCTTTGGACTCTTCATACTTACGAGATCGATGGTGTTTGGTGTCCCTATCATCATCAGAGTCATCGGAGTCTACAAGCTTAGGACGTTTGTATCCATTCTTAGACTTTTCAAGATGACTGTCATCGCTGTCGTGGTCTGAGTCAAATGCAGATGTATCTTCAACAGCTAAGTGAAGTCTCTTGCTTGCTTTCTTACTATCTTTAAGCCCACTCTTTCTAGGTTTGACAACAGGCTTCTTAAAGACTTCTTCATTGTCTTTGGTGCTACTGTCAGAGACACCATCACTTGCAAACTGATTGTAGAAATACAAAGATTTCTGTTTGAATGAGAGCTGCATCCGTGCAGACCAAGTCCTAGCTTTCAAAATTTGATCGGTCATATTTTTAAACTGGTAGTCACCAAGTTTGTTCTCTTGATGATCTTTATCAGCAAACTTTTGAAAGTTCTGAGCAAAGAGGACTCCGGCATAGAAATACTCCATGAAACCAAGTTGTTTCTTCATTTGTTTAAGGTTTTGCATCAAGTCAAGTATGGTCTGATCTGTTTGCTCTAAATCAGGCTGCTCTTGATTATCTTCCATATTTAATAATATTCCCACTATCACATTATTTATACCCATCCCAAATAGAATTTATCAGAACTCATATTTCAATATCTTCTCCAATCTACGGGGTTTTGGGGTTTTGGGGTTTTGGGGTTTTGGGG